GGCAGAGGAGTGCGTTAATCGGCACCTAATTTTCCACTGAGCGCATCTTGCGTGGCAGGGCAGCTTAGGGCTGATCTGCCTTCCAAATAAAGCATCGCATCTATTTATGGCAGTGGCTTAAAGAGGAGCAGATCTCATGTACCATGGTGGAAGTTCTTGAAAAGCAGCCAAAGTACAGAGGTCAAGTTTCCTGTACCGAGAGCAACTTAATGGGACACAAGATGGGAATGTCCTTTGCGAGGATCTGGCGGTAGCTGGAAAACTGGGTCACTCTGCATTTTTTCACTAATGGCTGGGTTAAAATAATAAATTACTTCAGTGTATTTCTAAACAGTGTGAAGGCTAGAGAGGATCCACTTGAAGGCCTGTTACCTCAACAGTGGAAGCCAGTGGGAGCATTGCCAAGGGGTTCATGTAGGGAAGATGAGGGTCAGGCCCCTTAATATAGCTTGGTGAACGATATTATGAATAAGAAAGTATGTAGCTGTACTGTCCACTGGGATCTGCCTCTTCATTAGAAATTAAAGGACAAGGTAGGCAATATGATTGTTTTGCAAATTTCCCCAGGGTCTGCTTTTAAGTAATCGTAAAAATCCTTGACGATGCCTTGCCCAAAGCCAGTGCTGCTTTCAGTAGCTACTGTTGTTTAGAGGCAGCAGCTCCCAGGAGTTTTACAAGGAGTTGTATGCAAATAGAGTCTACTGGCGTGCCCATGAAACTGCCTATTCTTGGAAGAGCTTATATGGGAGGATTTAATGTTGACAGTCTTTAAGTAGTGATGTCTCAACTGTGAAGAATCTGTTGTTTAAGCAACTTTATGAAGCAAAAGTGCTTATCGTTAAAAGCAAGAGTATTCCCTTTTGTTTCAGGAGATTGTGGAGGCTTTAAACATCTATGCAATTTGGTATGCACATAATTTGATAGTCTCTTTTATAAGAAGATGATTAGAATGAGAAAAATTACCCTCTCAAACTCCAGCAGAAGAGGGCAATGCAACGTGTGCAAATCAAAGAGCCTTAAAATGGATACAGGATTTATATAGTGGCAAGTTGGGCAATGGCTCTTAAAACTGCAGCTACAGTCTTCTAAACACCCTTTTAGATTATTGGTGAGTTGATAAGTTATGATTCACTGCCATTTGATGTGAAAGTTACTGTCAAAAAACGAGCGATCACTTAGCTGAATCTAGAGGGTTGTTTTTTTAAAATTCTTGGGTGCTGAGAGTAGTCTAAGACCAGGCTGTTACTGCCCGCAGGGAGCATTTCATTGTCAGGTTTACCCAAAAGTGTACACTTTTTTCCCCAGTTTTGTTGATACTTTAATACAAGCATTATTTTCTTGCATTCATAAAACATACTAGCTGCCTCATGTCTGCAAGGCAAAGAAGGCCAAGTATCACTTTTCTCACCAGCTGGGACAATTTTAGCAATAGAAATCAGTTTAATTTCCCAGCTTGATTCAGACCACTGCTATTTACACTCCCATGGTGTGGTGATATCCTCCCGTTTATGCTTCCAGGTTTAAAATTTAACTACATCCACCGTGCTCTTTTTCTTCCTAACAAATTCAGAAGACAAGGCTGGAAAGGGAAGCAAAAATCATGGTGGTATTGCTCCTATATTGAACCTGGGACGTGTGTCTAAGGAGGATTACGTTTAGTATTAGGGTCCTGAGCTGGCAGTCCTCACTGTAGTAGTAACTTAAGCAGGAGCTTTGCCAAAGGCTGAGTGGGGGCAGAAGGCTGCAACAGTTGGCACTGAAGGAGCAAGATGTCAATTGCCTTGTAACAATGGGCAGGGTTTTTTTCCCAAATATGTAAAGTAGATCTGTATGGATTTGCTTCAGTGGCTTTGGCCCATAGCAGTTTCTGGGAAAGGGGGTCATAGATGTCCCACGATGTATTTTTGGGATGTATGCCCCTTCTCCTATGGCACTAGAAGTGAAACATACTCAGTTTGGAGCGATGCAGACTTGGATCAATGCAGCAATCTCCTTTGTTATCCACGTGAGGTGAGAGGGACAGGACACCCACCACCACCCTCCCTTCCCAAGTTACAAATACTTGCATGTTAAGCGCTTGGTCTTTTCACATAAAACTTCCAGGTGTGGTAATAAATATACAAAAGAACAAAGTCTACTATGTAAATGAAAGCAGATTTATAAAATTACAAGTTTAATAGATAAATATAATAAATACTTTATGCATCATAACTCTGGACAACTACATTTAAAGCAAGTATGTTGGCAAGTCACAAAAAAGTTGCGCCTCGGCAACTTTATTTTTCATAAAACCACACTGACAGGCATATTACAATGTTACGTATGAGGCTTTATGCTGCAAGTATGTTCAAATCCCGCTCACCTACTGAGTTTACCATGACATAGATATGGGTGTAGTGTACTTTCTATTTTGGAATGTCTTTTTTGCACACCAACACGGTTGTACAGATAGATGTTCCACTTACCAGGGACAGCTGGGGGAAGAGTTTTGAAGAAAAATACTGGTAAATGACTTCTAGAAAAACTAAAGCATTTCTTAACTTTTTATTGACATTGGCAAATTAAAATAGAATAAATTAACAATATTTTCTCAAAAAAATGTTTTGTACAAAAATACTGTCAAAATTTCCTGAAAAGCTTTCAACACAGTAGTATCTTTTCATGTACTGAATAAACTATATTAGCACAGTGTCAAAATGCTGAAGACAGAAACAAAATAATAATAATATTAAAAAAAAAAAAAAATATTAAAAAAAAAAAAGCAACTGTGAAATGGTTGCCACTAGTCAACATTCCATCCACACCATATTATTGTCTGTACATATGGGGGAGGGGGAATGGGTAGCAGACTTCTAAGTAACAGTATTACATTTCCTGATCTGGAAAGGTTTGGCCCATATCTATTAAGCTTCCAGTTTAGCGTCTTAAGGAAAAAAAAAATAGAAGAAAAAGAAAAAAATTAGGCTGCACTGCGATGCATAGTTAAAAATTAAGCAAGATGGCAGCATTTGTGCAGTAGTATCTGCCCTTCAAAGTTCATGCAACCAACTAATGCATTTTTTTCCCCCGTTCACTCAGAATTCGAATGCAGTTCAAGTACTTGGAAATCATCGCTTACAAAATCCACAAGATTAAGCAATTTGACAAGATTAATATCTAACAGTTCAGCACTGTGGGAATTATGGGCACGTTACTGCGAGGAAATTAAGAGTGTGAGGAGGGGACGGGGGTTACCAACAGAAAAAGGCAGAGTTGGCTAGAAATTATTACTACGGGAGGGGACGTGAATGTCAAAGCTACAAAAAAAAAAAAAAAAAGAAAAGAAAAAAGAAAAAAAAAGTTGCAGCGGTTTAAGGAAGGGGCAAAAAAAAAATAAAATTTATACAAGCGCATAGTTGACTCTGCTTTCCAGATTCTCACCTTTTCAAGCCCTGAAAAGTGAGACACCGTGTCTAGGGGAATGTTTTCATTCGCACCGATAGAAAGTCCTTTGTTTGTTTTAAATGAATCAGCAGCTCACCCTGCTGGGCTGCTGTTTGCAAACGAAGTCTGTCATGAAGTCAAACTCGTTCTGTCCCAACCACAGCTCGGGAAGCTCCTTGATGCGATCCAGCCCCATTTCGATGACTAAGGACATGAGGACCTCCTCGTCGATGAAGTCAGTGTCTATGACATTGGGCGGCAGCATTGCCGCGGGGACGTGGGGGACAGCGGGCGGCAACCCGCTGCCGCCGCCGCCGTGCTTGGGGTTGCAGTCCCTGAAATGCTGCTGCTGGCTGCTGCCGTTCAGCTGGTGGCTGCCGGGGTGCAAGTCCGGCATGTAGTGGCTGTGAGGGTAAGGGTGGTGGCTGAAGTACTGGTTGTTCAGCTTCTGGAGCTGCATGCTGGCGCTCAGCTGCCCTCCCGGGCTGGCGACGGGGGGGGCCAGGAACTGGGAGCCGCTGAAGCGGGCGGGGGGCGGCAGGC